TTACAACGCACGACATTTTGATTGTTTTTGGGCTCAACCTTATCCCACATGCCAATTTCAAAGAAAAGGCCACCAAATTCAACGAACAAAGTAGAAAGCCATGAACCATCAACAATAGATGAGATATTGTAGGCCTTAGTTTTATCTATAGATGTGGCAGGTAATAGACAATACTTGGGATTAGGGTTCCCGATATTTATTTTTACATGCAATACGAGACATATAGTGTAGACAACGGATGTGGATAAGGTTGGATCTGCATAAAAAGGCAAAAATGGGTCAATGAACACCACCAATTGGGGTGTTGATGGCATTGACAAGTACTGTAATGTGAGATATTGAGGAGTAGCAAAAGAAAAACAAATCTGCAAGAATTCAACATGATGGAAAACAAAGGGCTTTCTTGTGACATGATACACACTTTGAATAACTAGAGAATATGAAAGGATGGGACAGGGTTTTCTGCTTATTGATGTTAGGTGGTTGACTAGGGGTGAATCTAGCTCATAGAATGAGTGATGGCTTATTTGTTATTAGAACAAATATATTATACTATTACAGAAAAGTATAAATATAAAACACAAATTTATAATACACTTATGAGTTTTCATAGCTCAATATTGCTCTATAATAACATCGTTGATTTTTCATCACAGTTCTTTTGGCCCAACAATATTAGAATTCGCCTCAGGTATATTTGAAATGAAAATATCTCATTTTAAAATATTTTCACATGCGTTTTTTTTCGAAGTAGTTTTCAAAATTATTTCTCCATAATTTGATGTAAAAAAAAATTATAATGTATAAAATGCTTTACTAATATATCAAACTTTTTAAGAGCCCACAATTTAAGTTATTAACCACACACAAATTATAATTGATGATATTATTATTTTAGATAATTAAGAAAAATGATAACAAGGTTAAATTTACTTTGACCAATATTATTAGTAAGAACAGTGATTTTTTTTTCTCCATGTGGCAGATAATAGACAATACTTTAGATTAGCGTTCCCCATATTATTTTGAAATGCAATACGAGACATATAGTGTAGACAACGGATGTGGCTAAGGTTGGATCTACACAAAAAGGCAAAAATGGGTCAATGAACACCACCAATTGGGGTGTTGCTGGCATTGACAAGAACCGAAATGTGGGACATTGAGGAGTAGCAAAAGAAAAACAAATTCAAAAGAATTCAACATGATAAAAAACAATGGACTTTCTAGTGACATGATACACATTTTGAATAACTAGAGAATATGAAAGGATGGGACGGGGCTTTCCGCTTATTGTTGTTAGGTGGTTGACCAACATGGAGGGGCGAACCATATTTGTTGTTATTAAAAATAAAAAAACTAGTACGCTACCCGTGTACTACACGGGTCCATGAAAAAATAATTTGAACAAAAAAATAAAAGAGTTTAGTTATTGCAAATATATACAAAATAAATAAATGAAAGAAAACAAAAAACTACTATACATTGGTATTTTATTTCAAAATTTTAAAAATTTATTTGTGCACAACATTATTAGTTCTACTTAAAATTTATCAACTTGGAAAAATAAAAAAATATGATGAATAGGACAAAGTTTATCAACTTAGAAATATAAGATAAATGATGATAATTAAGATAAGGTCTAAAATCGATGAGAATTAAGATAGGGGACGTGTTTAGTTAAGATTTCATTAATTATATTACCAATAAAATTATAATATATAATTTTAGTTCATCATCTTCATTACGCAAACAAAGTCACAAACTCAAATATTGGCCAAAGTCTATCAACTTGAAAAAATAAAAAAATATGATGAATGGGATAAATCTTTAGTAAAATGAAATAAGGAAATAAAGATTTGTGTGATCTTTAAATTAAAGATAAATTTGGTAATGAAAGAGAGATTGATGACAGACAATATGTATGGTAAAAATATTATTTATGACACTTTCCAAGCCAACTTTGTTTCCAAATTTTTTATCCGAACCTAAATACAAAACATGGTATTGTGACATATAGGATTCCAAAACATGCGAGCCTGCCACTTAGGCTCCACACGTTTTGAACTTATGAGTTTTCATAGCTCAATATTGCCCTGTAGTAAAAAAATTATTTTTTCTTCACAATTCTTTTGGCTCAACAATATTAGAATTCATCTCAAGTATATTTGAAATGAAAGTATCTCATTTTAAAATACTTTCACATGCGTTTTTTTTTTTCGAGGTACTTTCCAATATTATTTCTCCATAATTTGATGAAAAAAAAAATTATAATGTATACAATGCTTTACTAATATATGAAACTTTTTAGAGCCTACAATTTAAGTTATTAACCACACACAAATTATAATTGATGAAATTATTATTTTAGATAATTGATGATATTATTATTTTAGATAATTAAGAAAAATGATAAGAAGGTTAAATTTACTTTCACAAAAATTAGTAAGAATAATAATTTTTTTTCTCCATGTCCCTTTTTTCTTTTTTTTTGGTTGTTTGTGCTTCTCCAAGGATGGTTCTTAATTTCTATTTTTTATTTTAGTAATGGGGAGTTCTTCTTCTTTGTCTTTGTCTTTTTCTTTGTCTTGCTCAGAAACTATTTTTTTAGTTCTAGTAGTACCTAAGTCATAATAACTTCTTTCGTTCCATTGGTCTTCATATAGATACGCATATGCACCTAGCGACTTTTATAATACTGTAAAAAAGTTAGCGTAGCATTTTTATTTAAAAATTAAAAATAAAAGTAATTTTGACTTTTAAATCATACTAAGATGATGAGACATCGATAACACAACCCTATTCGTCTACGTCTTGGACCGAGCTTTACGTATATTCAATAATTAATTTAGTGTGAAGTTTGGTTATAAATATATAAAATAAATGATATTTGAGTAGGTTTATGCATATCTGTTCCTCAATTTTAAAGAACTATATTTCCTATTTCATAGAAGCCCGTCTCGAAAAGTAGGTCATTAATCACTTACAAATGATGTATTCATATTCACTTTCTCGCACAACTAGTACAAAACCCGTGCGATGCACGGGGTGCACAATTTTAAGGCTATTTATCCAGACTTATAATTATATGCATGAATACAGAAAAATGTACGGGATATATATAGTACGTGACCCGTGCGAGACACAGAATATATTTATTTAAGGAATACTATATTATAAGATGCAATATTCAATAAAAGTTTCATAATACGCAGGAAAATTGTACAATAAGATTGTATTCGACAAACAAACAATCATATATTATTAAAGACTTCCTTGTACACAACATTATGAGTTTGATTTTCCATACAATAATAATAAGATTTTTTGTAAAAAGATAAGAAGGAATTTTCAATCTACACAAACTTTAAACATTAGATGTGTTTACTTAAATCAATGGCTATATAGACAACTAGGCTTGACATCTACTTTATTTATGGGTGACGTAAAATAAAGATTTAATTTTGACCCATTAAATCTTTATTCATAGGCTTGACATATAAAACTGATTTGATGGGATTTTCTTAACTAAACCGATATTATGGGATAAAATAAATCTATACTTACCTTTGACTTTTCCAGCAAAGGTAAAAAAATCGGTTCTAATTTTTATCCCATAACAAATCTTTAATGTCAAGCCTATAAATACCAAAACAAATTTGTAATTAATATCATTCTATTTCCAGCAAGCATTAATTACCTTTGACTTTTCTACCTACTATTTCTAGTAAATAGGATGGCTTTTATATAAGTATAGATTTCATATAATGCAAAGACTGAGATCATAAAAAAGAATCCTAAAAACTGAAACAATATATTTGCATAATTTAAGGCCATTAAGAAATCGATCTCTAAATCAGATTTGATTTTCAGAATATGTTTTTTTATTTCGAATTCAATACAAAATGGAATTCTTTCCAACCAATAGATGTCATAGCAAATATTAATTCTTAACTATTAGACTATTAGTACATACCGAGCAAATTGTGTACTGATTTTAGAAAGTTAAAATGATTCATGTTAGGTAATTTTACATTTTATGCATGTTGAACGGTGGGTTTTAAATATTGTTTCATAAAATGTAAAAGTGTATTATATTATTTTTATGAGATGTTGAATTTGAAATTAATAGAATTCTTCTTCATATGAATTTTAAATGTAACAATATTCTTTGGTATACACTACTAATAAAATTTATATTTAAAGTTTATATTTTTTTTTTTTACCGGAAAAAATTTCTTAATTTAAGGAATCATATATCTTCAATCAGTCCACATCTATATACATTCTTCACAATTTTAAATCTTGAATTTGATGAGAATTCGTATCTATGAGTGCAAAATATGGTTTAACAAATTAATTTTTTATTATTATTCTAGCCATACTTCTTTATACAATTTTTTGTGAAAATATAAAAGTAAATTCTTAATTTTAAATCAGCCGTACATTAAAGAGTACAAATTTGTTGAAATTAAAAAAATAGTTTTTTACTTTTAAACAGACGTAAATTTAAATCAATCATAAAAAAAGTAATATTTGTTTACCATTTAAGGGCAACATTTAATGCTGCTCTATTTTTAGGAGACATTAAATGTATTTGGCGGAAAAAACTTGCTAAAAGTGTTAAATGGTTAATCTTTTAATATAATGATAGATATTTCTTGATTACAAAATATATCTAATTACAAAATATCATTAACATTTCAATTTCTAAATTAAGCGTCAGAAATGTTGTTTTGTAGGTTGATCAAACTCGTGATTTAAAGCGAAACGGTTCGACCTGAAATCTTGATGGATTGATAACTCGAACAATATAAGTTAATAACAAATGGAATAAATATTTTTTCTGGTCCCTAATGTAATTTTACTAGGAAAATATCAAACTCCAAGCTAGACAGGCATGGCAACCACAAGAAAGGGAACCATTATTTTATATATAAAAAAAAAAAGGTTTCTTTATTGAATCACACAAGTGTATTTATTCAAAGTTAGACAGACCTCTTTCCCATTTCACAAGGAGCTGAGCCTGAGAGTAACAAAAACTGTGTATATGAAAAACTAATCAATATGTTATATTCCTATGTTATCATTCTTCCTACTCAAAGAAAACAATGAAGTAAAATGAAGAATCAAATCTTCTTCACTATGCCCCAAAATGTAAAAAGAAAAAGAAAATGTTAAACCTGTCCTAAACTACGCGAAAGATTACTACTACTGGTTGGAGTTGACGAACGAGCGGGAAATTCGAATCTCAAATTACGTTTGCTTCTTGGAGACAAATTCACTTTCTCCAAAGCATGGCACTGCAAACCCGAAGGATAATCTCTCAAACACCCGATTCTTGGCCCGGCCCCTGTGCTCCACTTGCAACTCAATTGCTTTCCCAATTGGAAAGACCCCATTTTCTTGTGGCACTTAATTCTTTCCAATATGTGCTCTTCCGGAATAGTCTCGTGTTCTTCTTCATCGTCAACCAAAGGTACATCTTTTGCCGTCAAATTTTCATCAAACGGTGATTCTAAGAATAATATATTCTTGTCACCCTTGCGTGGTATAACGAGAGACTTGAGTTTATTTAGGCCAAGTTTGACGCTCTCGTTTTCTTCTTTTGGGTTAAATCGAACGTTTTCTTCTACCAAAGGGCGTTCTTTGCCAAACAAGTCATCATAAGACGAGTTGCTTCTAATGTGTTTTGTGGTCGATGAATCTTCTTCGTCAATGGAATCAAGCTGGACGCGAGTGAGATTTTAGATATATCACTAATCTGAATATTACTGAACACGAACAATAGAAAGGAAAGAAACACAGAGGAATTTTTTTCTTTTTTTTTTTTGTTTTGGTTGTGTACCTTAACATGGGTGAGATCTACATTGTTATCTCTCATAAATGATAAGAAGTCCTGGAAATTTTCGCGCGTTGGCCGGTAATGACCACTGTGAGGCCAAACTGCCTGTTTTAAAATCCAACAAAGCACAATTTATAGACTAATATTGAAATATTAAGGGAGCATTCAAGAAAACATATTCCATTTTTGGGGGGAAGCGAACAAAATTGAAAGTCAAGAATCAAAGATGGCACAAATAAGTTGAGATAGAATGAATAACACTGTAAAAGTCATTTACTCATGTGTTCAATAACAAATTACAGAAGCATAAGATGGAATCTGAAAACACAAGACAAGTGATTTATACCTTTAAGATGCCATTTTCGGCTACAATTCTCCCAGCAGCTAGTGTAGCTCCTCCAGCTAGAAAACTCGAGTGTTGAAATAAACCTTTTATCTTTTTCCCTACATATAATGTTCTTGATGTGCTCAGAACAAAAATCCACTTAGTACCCTTTGGCTCGTCAATCGTGTTCAAAAACTCCCCACTTTCCCTGTAAATTAGCTTCCCGTCCTCTACCGCCACTTCATAAGGCTTTCTTTCCATCTGTGCACAAGTCAAAACATTATAACTAATAATGACTCTGAGTCTGAACAGAATATTTTTCAAAAATTAATTAGAAAAAAAAAAAAAAAGACGAAGAATATGATTTA